TGGATTTCCAAAGAGCCCCCTCATGCCCCTTTGTCCCCCAGGTTTGTTTCCTGTTTATTCTAAGATTTATTGAGCACTCACTAGATGCCAAGCTCTCCGCTGGGTCTAGACTACAGAAACAAAGATGACAGGTAAATCCGTGACCTTGTGGTTTTATAGTCTATGTGCGGATACAAAGAGACAATAAACAAGTCAATAAACATCCCAACAACAAAATCATCGCAGAGGCAGTGAGTGTTCTGCGACCAAGCAGGATTACTTGGTAGCTGGTAGTTGGAGGACTGTTTCAGTGGGAAGGGCAGGTGCTATTGAGTTGGTCTCTCTGTCCTTTAAAATTCATGACGAATTCTACACGTTGTGGCTACGATTCCCATTGAATGGACAGGGAATTGGAGGCTCAGGGAGGCTAAGGAAATCGCTCAAGGTCACACAGCAAATGGATGGGAAAACAGGTCAGCAGATTCCCAAGCTCACGCCAAAAGCTCATGCTTTTTTCCATCACACCACATGGCCTCTCTCAGGAGCCTGGGCCTTCCCTGCTGCAACAGGGCTGGGGGAGGGGTGGAGGCAAGGCAGCAAGGTCTGTGTCCCTGCTATTCTGTGATCATAACAACATATTTAAAGGGCCTATAAACAGCCAAGGGCACTGCAATGACCTCCACTGCTGGCCGCATTTCCCTCCTCCTCTAAGTGGGATGTCAGCCTTGTGTCTCAGTCCCTCCCATCCTGGACACAGGACATTGCAGGGTGCCCCAGGAGACAGCTGATCTCCCCTGCACCTCCTGACCTCTATCACGAAGATGTAAACCGAGGTTGTCTCAGATGAGCGTGCACTCTCTCTCAGCCCGCCTTTGTTTCCCTCCCCTCCCCTCTGCTCCTCCTCCTTTCCCTCCTCATAGCCCTTCTCTCTCCCTCCTGCATGCTTTGAGACCAAAGAGCTGTTAATCTTGCTGCCACCACCTCTGCTAAGCTGCACACTGGTCCACAGGCTCAGGCCTTCTTCCTTCTAGGACTGCCCGAGAACTCCCTGGAAACCCGGGCTAGTTGGTAAAAGATCACATTCATACTTCCACAGCCTGAATGCTCAAAGGGAGGCTCTGCCAAGCCCAGGTTTCCACCTGGAGGCCTCAGTCACCAGGGAGACCACTGGGGTTACCTGTCGCACAGAGGCTGACGTTCAGACCTGCTGTTCCTACCTTGACATGAGAGTTTGGGTGGTGAGTGAGCATCACTGCCCCCTACAACATACACACTCTCTAGTACCACACACTGCACAGTGCTTGAGAGCATTTGGTTAATGGGCTGCACTTAATCTGAGTAATTTTGCATAACTATCTTACACAAAGAGAGATCATGCAGGTCTTTTATCTGGGAGGAGTAGGTTATATACCTGCTTCCTTTACTCAAGTGACATGTTCTAGAAAACCTAGGTATCAATGAGATATTTGTTGGTTAAATAACATTTTAATTTGAACAGAGGTAAGGCTGGCAAATTCCTGTGCAGCGGATCTCTGAACCTCAGTTTCCTCATATGAAAAATGGGTTTAATCATTTATGCTCCAGCTAGCTTACAGGGCTGCTGAGAGACTTGGGGAATGAAATTTTAATTTTGTGGATGTACTTTGTAAGGTTACAAAGCACTTTATTACATCAAAGTAATGTTATTGTTAAAAAGACGATGTAGTTGGCCAAGGAAATTAGCACCTCCAAAGAGAAATTCGGTGATAACCCCATTTCCATGTATTCAGTTGGCTCAGATGAAGATTACACTTGTATTGTATATTTTCCAAATCCAGGCAGGCCAGATGGTGTCTTACTAAGCCTTCGGAGACTTGGGAGCACTTTGTGGTTGCCTCTGACTTGCTATCAGCGGTAAAGAGTATCCTGTCCAAGAACATCTATTAAAATCTTAATTTCAGGGCACCAGTTAACCTTGAGACCCCAGTGTATCTCCCTCAGTCCCTCCAATCAATCTGAAATAAGAGCATGAGAATGAAGGAAAATCCCTAGAGCTTCCCTAGGGGTGGCCCCTTGCATTTGGAATGTCCCCCACCCCAAACACGTGGGACATTATAAGGCCAGAGAGATGTGTGTGGGGTTCCCCCACCCCACCCCTCCCAAGGGAGAAGTGGCTTGCTGCACACAGTTCCTCTCTTTGTACACATTTTGAGCCAAAATGGAATGATTGCCAGCTGGGAGGGAATTCATTTTATTCAAATAACAGTACCAAGCAGCAAGATTTATGGCACATACTTCTGGGAAAGCGCTCGGCAGCAATCAGATGCCTGCCTGCGCTCCTGCCCCCTTGGGACAGCCTGCAGGTACAGTCATAGCTCAGCTCCAAGAATATACGACCAAGGTGATGAAGAGTGTGGTTTACAAATTGTTTTCCGATGCAAGATCAGTGGCAAATGTGTCCTCACCAAGCATCAAACCTTGAAATACCACTTTTCCTCTCGGAAAAGGACCGGTATCAACTGGTTGGTCAATACACTTTAACTCAGTGTCTCTTCTGGGCAAACTACTGTGTTAGGGAATGTGGAGGAGATCCCCCACATATTTCTGACCTAGACCAAGAGCTTTCATCCTGGAAAAATAAGACTTCTTATTTTAGACTTCCCATCTTAGTTGGAAAAATAAGACTTTCTTGTGGATAAAGATAAGGGCCCAGAGGAGAGCTAGGAGGAGGCAGAAGCTAACACCACCCAATCCCCTGCTGGGACTGAGGCCCTTAATTGCCGTCCCCCCTCTGATCATTGTCACCATAAGGTAACGTCTTCATCCAGTCCTGTCCTGTCAGTGAGAACAGTGACAGCAGACAAGTTACGGGACTTGCCCAAGGCCCCACTTTATTAAGGGGCAATAAAGTGTTCATTCTTGGGAGCGTTTGGGGAGCTTGCTTCCCAGCCCATCAGGGGCTTGTCTCAAATAAGCCCCCCTTTTTTTAAGTGTTCATCCTTAGTCTGCTTCATTCTGATGGGGCCAGAATCAAGGAGAGATTTTTAACTTGAGCTCCTATTGATTTTGTCAGGCGTGAGCACCCTTTTTTGAAAACCAAATCACATTTGGCTGTACTTCTTCTGACTCGATTCACTTATGGGGAGGGGGCTGAGGAACCACCAACTCTAGATCGGAAGCTTTACTGTGCTTTTCTGTCGATCACCCGTGACTCTAAATAAATCATTGTTCCTGTCCATTCCACAGCCAGAGCTCTCCTTCCTGCCTGAAGTCTCCCCTCCCCCACTGACATCTTCCCACACTGCTCATTTAGCTTCTCTCTCTGCCCCTCCCCTCACATACACACAGATTCAGACCTACCTTCCCACCACACACCCATATGCAAAATAAAATTAGAAATACCACTGGGATTTCAAGGTATTTAGGGAACAGAGATCTTCAATCAATACAGCCTGAGACGAGCCCTCGGGGCTCCCTGCCTCCCGAGTCAGGGCGAGAGGTGACAGAGCCTGTGAGAAGGGCTCAGACAGACGTGACCTGGACACTAAGCGGCTCTAATGGGGGAAAGGCCGCTGGTGTTCCCCTGGGGCTGCCCTGTGGCCGCGGGAGCTCGCAGGGCCACCAGATTCTCGGAGGCCACACCTGGCAAGCTGGGGTGCTTTTGCTCTCGTGTAAGACCCTTTCAGAGCCTGAGGTTTCCTGGCCCCCCTTTTCATTGTGATGTACACTGATGAACTGCAGAGAAAACAGTGTCTGATGATTCAAAAATATAGGCTGAGCTGATAAGCATGTGGCCTTCATTTTAAGGGATTGCTCTTGTTTTAATCAACCAGTCGAAAAAGTCAATAAACAGTGATTTATTTATTGTTTGCCTTCACCCAGAGATGTGGAACAGGGCAGGTGCGGGGCGGGGGGGCCGGGGGAGCGTGACAGGCCAGGAAACTGAGGCAGTGGTGGTGACTCCAATGTGCCCACAGAATTTCTAAAGCTGCCTCTGCTTTCTTCACCCCTGCCACCTTCTGACACACACTGGCCAAGTGTCCCCGCCTTCTTGGTGGCCCTCAGTTTCCACCTCAGAGTAGTGAAGTGCGGAAGAAGCCCATAGGAACAGGGGATGGGACAGGACGCCAGGCAGATGCTCCTGGTTCAAGCTCTGTCTGGATAAGCCCCTCTGTTCTCCTCCTGTCTCCCAAGCTCCTCCTGGAGAGGAGCTCCTCCCATGAGAGCTCCTCCTGGGTCTCAGAGTGATACTGGGCTGTGCAGAGGCCGAGAGGGGATGCATTCATTCAAATCCAGGCTCTGCCACCACCACGCTGTGCGACTCTGGGCATGTGACTTAGCGTCTCTGTTTCAACCTCCTCATCGATACAGTGGGGATATCAAGCTTCTGCTGGGAAGATTAGCAAAGCTGCCTTATGATAAAGGTTCAGCACAGTGCCTGGTTCTGAGGGCCAATAAATAGTGTCAATAATTATGCACTAATAAATAGTACTTACCATGGGCAGGCCCTGTTTCAGGGCTTTACGTATATTATCATTTAATCCTCACACCTGTTTTACAGCAGAGGAAACTGGAATCTGAAGATCACACAGTAGTGAATGGCGGATATGCAGACCCCGGAGACAGGCCCTCGGGTCGGGGTCTCAACCCCTCCGTGACAGTGACGCTGATCTGGTGTTGCCCCGGCAGGCTGAGCTCTAAGCCCCCCAGGCTTCTCTCTGTCCCAGAGTGGAGCGAGCAGGGAGAGTGTTCAGCCACAGAGGAAAGGCAAGAGCAGGTGATGGCTACAGCTTCCACTCCAGAGCTGAATCAGGATCCCAGGTGGAACCGGTGGCTGAAGACAGGCAGGGCGCCCCAGCCGTCTCCGAGGGAACTAGGTAAGGGAGGGGTGGGGGGCAAGTCCACCATGCTGAGAGGGGTGGCCAGAGCGCCGCCCCCAGAAGGGGAGGCAAGGGTGGCGAGGGCTGGGGGGGTACCCAGCTGCCATACCCACCGCTTCCTGGCCCCCACTCGCCGGCGCCCAAGTGGGAGGACCACAGCTGCCCGCTCCCTTTCCACACCCCCGCTACCTGCCCAGTCCCCGAGAATCGTGAGGAGGCTCTGAGCCAACGGGGCCGAGCCCACAACTTTGCAGCTTCGGGGAGGGCGAGAGTCGGCGTCCAGGGCTCCTGTTATCCGCGACTAGAGCTGGGTGAGCTCCTTTCCCCACCCCTCTGCGGCGGTGCGGTGGCGGCGCAGGGGCGGCTTCCCGGGCGTCCGGGAGGCGGTGGCCGAGAAGCCGGCGGCCGCCCGCGCCGCCTGCCTCCCTGGGGTTCCGGCCCTGCCTCCCGCCGCGGGCGAGGCCGGCGCCAGTGCTGAACGGACAGCTCCCTCCGTCCTCCAGCGACACCCGCGGTCTCCGTCGTCTCTCCTCCCCGGCAGGGCCCGGGCCGCAGCCGCCCTCCGAACGCCGCTCACTCCCCCAGCCCCAGCCCCAGCCCCAGCCCTTCGCCTTCCAGGCGCCGCGGCGCATCTGGAGGCTGCTCCTGCGCCCCCCTGGCGACCGGCGTGGGGAAGACACTTGCTTCCCCGGAGCCCGGGGCCGAGGGCTCTCTCCGGGGTGGACAGCGCCGCTGCCGCTCTCGGGAGCGCGTGGCCAGACGCAGGGCCGGGCCCCCAGAGACCGCCCCTGAAGGTGCCTCGCCCTGGGGCCCTTCCTCGGAGAGAAGCCCGCGCTCCCAGGGCGGCTGCGGGTCCCCGGGAGCACTGGCACCTTCAGAGGGGACTCCAAGGTGATGATGGGTCGCCCGATCGGACGGGACAGCCTGGACGCAGGCCCTGTGGCATTTGCCCATCCAGGGTGCAGCAGCCTTCCCAGAACTTTTCTCGCGCCTCGGGCTCTCCTCTCCTTAGCCCCTGGAAAAGTTCTCTCGGGCGCCCAGAATCCTGTCTCCCTGTGGCCTCCGACGCTGGGCAGGAACCAGGGCTGGGGGGAGGGGGCGGGAGGAGTGGGGATGCGGCGGGGGCTGCGCTCGGCCGCGGGGGTCCATCAGCAGAAAGGCTGGCGGAGCACTTACTCCTGAGCCCAGGGCGGGCTTGTTGGTACCGAAAGGGTTTCGGCGCCATCGGCGTTGTTTGGGTTTCTAGCTCCAGGAGGGCGGGAGGCGGGCGCGAAGGGGGGATTTTAATATCGTCGCCTCAAATGAAAACGCTCTTTGCAAAGAGATAGCCAGGGCTGCCGGCGTGGAGAGGTGGGCTGACCAAGACTGGCTGACACAGGTATTCCGGCTGCCCCCACCCCACCCCACTCGGTGCCTGAGCGCGTGTGTGAATGTATCGATTGCTTTAATTGATTTTTTTAAAAAGCAGGTGGCAGTGGCTGCTCGTGTGCACACAGATATACACATACACAAACACAGACACCCAGGCACACGCAGATTACACACAGGGAACACCCCCCCCCACACACACACACCAACATCAGGGACACACAAACACACATACCTCCAAAGAGTCCTAGGTTACTGGTGAAGTCCCTGAGTATTGCCCAAGATGGGGTGGGGGCGGCGTCTGAGAAAGGGGAGGTGAAGCAGGGCTTCCATCATTTGCCTCAGTCCCCACCCCAAATCCTTTGCTTCTCTTCCTGGGGGTGGGGGGTCTGAAGGAGAAACCCCAAACCTGGGCTCTTTTCCGCTGCAGTGAAGGAGCGGAGCCCTAACCCCTTAACCCCATCCGTTGCAAACTGCGCACAGGCCCAGTCTCACTCTCCTTGCGTCTGCCTCTGGGGAGCCCGGGGGTTGCCGAAGTCGCTCAAAAACCGAGGGAGCGGGCACCGGGAAGTACAGGCTGACCCCCAGGGGCCGTTGCGGTCTCGGGGTCGCACGCTCGTTCGGCCCGGGTTAGGAAAAAGAGGAGGGGTGATCGCGGAACAGGGATCCGAGAGCGAGGATGTGCGTGGAGCGGGACCCACAGACAGCGCCGGAGGAGCACCCTAGGGCGCCCCCTGGACACCGCAGTAAGTCTTGCTCTCACCCTAGGCCCCTTAGGAATGTAATCGAAGATGCTGGCCCTGAGGCTGCTCAACGTGGTGGCCCCTGCCTATTTCCTGTGCATCTCCCTGGTGACCTTCGTGCTGCAGCTCTTCCTCTTCCTGCCCAGCATGCGGGAGGACCCCGCCGCCCCCCTCTTCTCGCCTGCGCTGCTCCACGGGGCACTCTTCCTGTTCCTCTCCACCAACGCCCTGGGCAATTACGTCCTGGTCATCCAGAACTCCCCCGACGACCTGGACGCCGGCCAGGGGACCTCCGCCAGGAAAGCTCCATGTCCCCCGCCCAGCACCCACTTCTGCCGAGTGTGCGCCAGAGTCACCCTGAGGCACGACCATCACTGTTTCTTCACCGGCAACTGCATTGGCAGCAGGAACATGCGCAACTTCGTCCTGTTCTGCCTCTACACCTCCCTGGCCTGCCTCTACTCCATGGTGGCGGGCGTGGCCTACATCTCCGCCGTCCTTTCCATCTCCTTCGCCCACCCCTTGGCCTTCCTCACGCTCCTTCCCACCTCCATCAGCCAGTTCTTCTCTGGTGAGTGGGCCTTGAGAGGCAGGTTGGGTCATGCACAAAGACCCCCCCAACCCCAAGTTTGCCGGATTTAGAAAACAAACAAATCCAGAATGCCCAATTAAATCATCATTTTGGTTAAACAACACATAACCTTTTAGTGTACAAGTATCTCCTAAATACTGCATGAGACATACTGAAAACACCCACTGTTACCTATCTGGAATGCAGTTTAACTGGGCATGCAGTAGTTTAGGTGGTCGCCTCTCATCCTGCCCCCATCCTCATCACTTCCTCCTTGCTCACCACTGGCCATTTGCTCATAGTATCTTGGTGATCCAGGCAACACACCTGCTCTGTGCCAGGCGGGCTGGGTGTTGGCCATCCTTCCATGCAGCCTGGGAGGTACTTCCATGCCATGACCTCCCTCTGCCTGGACCCCAGTCCTGCGCGCATGCCGCCCCACAGCCTTTGCTCTCCAAAGGTCTCCCAGCCCACCACAGTAAGGTCCACGGGGTGCCAGGTCAGGCCCAGCAAGAGACTGAGCTCTGCCCTCCTGCTCATTATGTCTGACCCCTCCCAGGCAGTTGAGGCCTGAAGATGCCTCGGAGCAGGGGGCAACTTGGTTGGGGATGCAGCCGTGGATGATGGCTCCATCCTCACACGACAGTCACTGGACTGGGGGGGATCTACACCCCCACTAGGTCCTCACACAGGCAGGGGCCAGACGTGAGGGGCTTCACTGAGGTGCTCAGCAGGGCACCCTAGGGAGGGCTGTATGTAGCGTGCCCAAGAATGGCTCCCTGGTACCTGGCCCAGAGGGACCTGGTGGCAGTTCTTACTGCTTTATCTGGCCTTGAAATTTGTCCCTCCCTCATTTCCTTCCTCTCCATCCCTACCCTGGCCTTGGACTCTGATTGACTCGGTTCTTACAACTGATAGTGTGCACCTGAGTGTGTGTGATATTGTTATCTCCCTTTCTCAGATGAAGAAACTGAGGCTCAGATTGGATTAAGTGACTTGCCCAGGATTTTACTACCACTGCAAAGCAGCCCCTTGCCTGCCCCTCCCCCCTCCAGCAGCAGAAGGAATACAATGTATTTCCTCACCCATTGGCATTTCAGGGACAAAGAGAGCATGCAGATACTTCCACTGAGAACCCAGAATTTTCTTGATGTGCCTGGGCTGGACATTCATAAAACTTCTGCTCCACTCTGGAGGGAGCCATCATTTCAGCCTTTGCAGGCACAGAACCATTGTGCCATTTGGCAGTGGGAACACAGAGACCCGGGGAGGACCCAGCTGGGGCGTTGCCTTGAGGTCTGGTGGCTGAGCTGAGCCCAGGACTCAGCTCTCAGGCCTTCTGGATTCTGATGCTGGCATAGGAGGCTGCTGGGACTGAAATAACCAGGAGGAGGAAGGGTGGGTGGGCGGGCTAGGGGGTGGAGTGTGAGCACAGGCAGGTGGAGGGAAGAGGAGAGCCAGACAACCTAATTACACTTTCTTTTCCAAGTGGCTTTATCACATAAAACTGGGGGGTTCCAAAGGGAGGACCTCGAAATGGTTTGATTTGAGATAAGCCCAGGCTTGAGGCCTAGCCATATGTGCGAGGTTCGGGAGGCAGGAAAGAAAGGAAGAAGGATCTATTCCTTTGATCTGATGGGAGAACTGAGCCAGTAAGTGTCTGCCTTGGAGGCCAGGTCCCTATTGCGGCAGAAGGATGAGCGCCATTTTCTTCTACCTCCTCACCGTACCCACTAGGAAAAGGAGGCCAAGCTTGCTAATCTCCAGCTCTCCCATCTTGTCTTCCTCTTTTGCCAACATTTCATCATGCCCCTTGCCAGTCCTTATTCTCTCCCCTCCCCAACACGCACACCCACATCTTCAGCACCTCCCTCCCTATCTCTCCCGCCCCCCTCGATTCTCATCCCAGGTGGTTGAGGGTGCTCCCTGTATCATCTGCTCGGGAGGACAGGAGGGAGTCAGAAGGCCCAAGTTCTTTGCCAGATTGAGCTCTTATTTCCCAACTGTGGTACTTTTTGACCCCGACTGTAGTACTATCGCTGAGTTGTATCTGCCACCAGAACATGGGATGGCCGGGAGTGTGGGCCCTGTGAGTTAGAAGTGGAAGGGGTCTTCTGGTGGCTGCTGCCCATGGACTTTTAGCTGATGCTAAAGATGTAGGAGGCTGGCCAGGTGGATTTAGCAGCTGTCTTTTCTTTGGTCTCTGTGCAAGTCCGCATAGGTTGTGTCACCTCTCTGAGCCTCATTCTTCTCACCTAGGAAACGGAGATGATGCCATCTGACCTCATGGCGTTCGTATAGGTACACCAGTGTGGCAGATGTCACCAGAATGTCCAGTAGAAGGGAAAGGGGATTAACGTTTGTTGAGCACCTATTACGTGCTAACCACTGTGCAGGTCTCGTTTCATTTAATCCTCACCACATGTCAGTGAGGTAAGTATTATCATCTCCATTGGTGGATTCAGCAGGAATCCAAGGCTCAGGAACCAAAGGGTCAGCAAGGTTAAGTTGCTCTGAGGCCACACAGCGAGCATGATTCCAACCCCAAATTTGGACTCAGGGTTACTAGCCTCCAGAGCTCATATTCCTTCTACTCCACCACGCTGCCTCTCTAAAGCTGTTTCTTGATGAATGAGCTGTTTCTTGATGGAAGCAAGGGAGCTTCTTGTCCCCGAATGTCTATTAACGATGCTGGGCAGTGACCCGTCAAAGGCGTCATAAATGTGTGGTGGGAAGCAGGGAGGGAGAGATGGAACAGTGTGACCATTCAGGCCCTTTAGAAAAACTGATTTTTCTAAAAGAAACAGAACTATTATTAGATTAGATTCAACTATGAGTTGAAAGAGCCAAGGCAGCCAGGTTAGGCAACTTCAAACACTTCAAGAAAAAAGCAGGTCCCCAGAAGAGCTTTTGGCAGCTGCCGCAAGGGGCCAGGGGAAGGCCACAAGGTCTTTTCCACATGCCTTGATTTAGTGCCAGGAAAAAAGCTAGCGGAAAACAGCTTCCATTGGCCCAGGCTTGTCCCTGAGGCCGAGATGCGAGGCCGGCCAATGCCTGACAGCTCTGATGCCCTCACACCCCAGCTCCAGGGGCTGTCTTGGCCTGTCAGCATGCTCAGAGCCCAGCAGGAGCCATGGTCCCTGGACCCTTCATCTCACATGGGGCTGCCTGAGCTAACCTGTGCTGACAGGAGGAAGTGGGTCAGAGGGATGACACAGCCCAGTGTGAAGCCTGTCCTGCTGCCGCCCCTGGCCAGCTGATGGGGCCCTCAAAATGCCAGCTGAAATGAGCTTTTCATCCCCTGGGCAGACGGACTTATTTTTCTCCAACTTTGCAAATAGAAACCTGCTATCAAAGCTCCTAGGGCTGAGGGCAAGAGGAGGCTGCTAATGAGCAAACCTGAACCAGGCCTGCATCCTCCTGGTGGCTGAGAACGTCACTGCTCAGGCTGGACACGTCTGAGAAGCCCAACCCTCAGGGGTCTGAAAATTGGAGCCTGGGAGCCCGGGGAAGAGGGAGACAGGGGCCAGGGGATGCCAGGGAGAAATATGGCTGATGTTTTCAGAGGTCAAATAGGTTGTCGGGTGGCGTGTCTGGAGCAGGCGCCTCATCGCTCTGGAGGAGGTGGTGGTGGGCGCGCCCTGCAGGACAAGACAGGCTGAGGAGGGCTCTCACATTCTCTCCTGGGTCCACCACCCTGGCTGCTGGCCAGGTCAAGGTAGGTGCCTGCAAGACCTGGGATGGTCTAAGGAGTTGAAGTCGAGAACTTCTGGATATATATAGTCTCCTCATCTGTGAATGACCCTCAGCAAGGAGCACTGCGCTGAGTGTGAACCAGAAAACTGGCCGCTTCTCGCACACTTTTCCTGAGTCATGCGGCCCTATGGGACCAGTTTACAGATGAGCAAACTACAACTCAGAGAGGTTAAGAGACGTGTTTGAGACCACAGAGCTGGGAGATTGGAACTTAGCCTGGACCGATCACCCCAACTCTGAAGAAGAGTGTGGAATCTCTCAGTGAATGTTTCAAAACTAGTAACAGAGAAAACGTGTCTAGAGGAGTTTACAGGAGGTTCTGCCCAAGGCACGGGCTGCACTAATGACCTTGGGGGCCTCCTTCAGCCTCAGCAAGCTCTGGCTGACGACATGTTCTAGTGGCCCAGCGTCGCCTTGTTAACATTAATGACTGAAATATTCTCTAAGTTGGAGCTCTGCTCTGCCCTGGGAGCTCGGGACTGGGCACCGTTCTCCATCATGCTGTCACTTTCCCGAGTGCCGCCCCACCCGCCGTGCGTCCGGCTCCACAGGGAGCCGGTTCCTTCGGTCTGGGCAGCTGCCCAGGCGCCAGCTCCCTCTCTGGGATCCTCAGCTCACCCCTCTTGCCTCCTGAGAAAACTCCCTCTCCCTGTTTCCGGAGCAGAAAGAGAAGGCAGAAAGACAGGCATGTCTGGTTCAGGGCACGTTCCTGTCTAGCTTCTGCCCAGTGAAGCATCCTTCCCGACATCCCCAGTCCATTGCTGGCGTCGGGAGTCATCAGCGCTAAGAAAAAGTTAGGGCAACGAGTTATTCTTCCTCTGCCTCGCTGCAGCGCTGAGATTGCTGTAAAATGTAGCTTCAGCCTCATCCATCTCCCTCCCTTCGCAGCGGAGAGCGCCTGCAGCAAAGGCAGGCCCGGATGTGGCCTGGGTGTAAAGCGAGTCTGGTGTTTCCCCGCCCCCTCCCCTGCAGGAGCTGTCCTCGGTTCTGAAATGTTCGTCATCCTCATGCTCTACCTCTGGTTTGCCATCGGCCTGGCCTGCGCCGGCTTCTGCTGCCATCAGTTGCTGTTGATCCTGCGGGGTCAGACCCGCCACCAGGTGCGGAAGGGGATAGCAGTGAGGGCCCGGCCTTGGCGCAAGAACTTACAGGAGGTGTTCGGGAAGAGGTGGCTGCTGGGCCTGCTGGTCCCCATGTTCAACGTGGGAGGTGAGAGCTCCATGCAGCGCGACAAGTAGAGGGCACTCCCAGCATTTCTCTTTCTGTGTCTTGACTTTTCCTGAACATTAGACCATGGCATCCTTGTCTCCACCCATGACCCACTACAACGTATGGCTGGTGATGTCCTATCGTCCACCCCCCACTGGGACATGGAGAAAAACATAGGCTGCTGGATCGTGACAAGGAGGAAAATGAGGTCCCCCAGGCATTTTCACCTTCCCCACAGGACAGCCAGGTGGCTGTCGGGAGGCCACCGCTTTGGTTTCTTTTCCTCGGGGTCCTTGCCTTGCCCCCTTCCATGTCTCATGGCATCACTGCCATGTGTTACAGCTCTTCCTCTCAGCCCCATGTTGGGAGTGGGGAGTGAATTCTTGCTTCCAGGAGGCTGCTTCCTGGGACCTGGAGGCTGGCAAAGATGTTTAAAATTACCAGGTCTGCTCTGCCAACTGCCAGGAAGGTTGGAAAAGGGTTGGGGGGTGTCCCCATCCCCTCCGTGGAACTGTGGGCAAGGGGAAGGCAGAAGAACTCGGTAGCTTGCTGCTCACACCACCCTGCCCCCAAGTTGCAAGGCCTTTCTTTGGGACACAGCAGCCAATGGTCTGGGATAGCCAGCTGCTGTCCCCCATGCATCTGTCCCCGCTGGCCACCCCAGCCCAGTCCAAGACCTGGCTGGACACTTTCTTTCCCTGGCCTGCTTCCTGCCTTTGCTAGATGCTGGGAAGGCAAAGAGAAGAGAGAAGAAAGGGGGCCATACCGATAAGTGATAGAGATATGTGACTACATAAGCACTATAGAATGGGATGAGAGAGAGAGAAAGAGAGAGAGAGAGGAAGAGAGAGAGAAGAGAAAGCTTAGGGAAGGGGAAGAGAGGGTCACAGAGTTTGGGCACTGGGTTATTTGGGGGAAATGATGAGAGAGGTGAATGGGTTCATTTGTTCCCTGCATTGAGGACTTTCTGAAAACTAAAGGGGTTCCATGTTAGACCGTCTTCCTGGACACCGTGGGGTGTGAGTGCCACTAGCCTGGAGGTTTCCCAGCAGGGGCTCAGCAGGCGAGCTGTGGAGAGACTCTCTGCACAGGGTCAGGGAAGGGAACGTCTCTTCCCACCCCAAGATTCCGGAGTCCTCTTCGTGATTGCAGGCCGAGAGGCAAGAGCTGCAGAGGTGCCTATGAGCTGTGTGCTTTCATGGAAGAGTCTGAAAATCATGATGGGCCCCGCCCGGCCACTCAGGAGAGAGTTGCTGGAGGGAGAAAGTCCACCTGGGTCTTAATGCTGGTTAAGGGGGGTGGCGTTCGAGGACAGGGAGATGGAGCTGTTCAGAGGCAGGCGGGGACAGTGGTGGGAGAGCAGAGCTTGAAGGTCATGCTCACCTCGGAAGGGTGAAATTGGGAGGGTTGAAGCTGAGGAAGGGGAGACCAGAATAGAGGGGTGCAATGGCCAGACCAGCCCTGTTTATCCAACTGGCTCTGAACAGGGGCACAGCTGCATGTTCTGGCACGCAAAGGACCAGACCCCTGGGACATACAAGGGAATGGAAACAACATACGTGCCCCTCCCGACTGGGTCTCGAGGTCAGTCAGCCATTCATGAAGGCAGCAGGGCTGAAACCCACACTCCACAGTGTCCGTCTGGTGGCCATGGCGACCCCAGCTGTTGCCACACATCACCCTGAGTTCTTGAGCAGAGCTTGGAAGGACTGTGCCTTGGTCCTGCTTCATGCCCCCTAGAGAACTACCATAGTAACGGCTCCACCCTATTAAACTCCCTCCCCTCTTCCTTCATTCATGAGTCTTACACGTGCTTATCTATTCAGTGCCAGCTAAGTGCTCTTCTGGGCACTGACACACAGTGGTGATCAAGAAAATGAGATTCCTGCCATCGGGGGCATCTCGGCGCTGCCCCACCCACTGCCTTCCACCCCCAGGAAAATGATACTTCTGCCATCTTGGTGGTCAGCGGGGCAGGTAATGGGAGGGGAAAGGATGGGGCAGAAAGGGCTGAAGGAGAGCCGAGGCTGCCTGGATGGAGGAGTCACTGGGGGCGTCCTCACCCAGCCCTGGCCATGCTTAGATGGTGGGAGCGGAAGGAGCGGGGAGAGGCCCGGGGTGAGCCAGGCCCCGGCTCTCTGTTGACCGCAAAGCTCCAGCCCGGAAGCCAGCACAGCGGTTCGCAGCCTCCTGGAGCCTCCGCCCTGTGAGGCTGGGCACTGGGGGAGGGGCCAAAGGAGGCCCTACAGGGGGTCGGCTCTGGGCAGAGTGGGCAGTGCGGGAGCGCGTTGGGGGGCGTGGCGATGGGGTGGGGAGGTTGCCAGGTGTGGGACTTGAGTAGCATTTGTATACGAGGCCCTGTATTGTCAATAAAGAACATCAGTAAAATACGCGGTTTCTAAATTGGATATGATGTGATCACATGGGTACTGTGGCTGGTAGCAGGGCCGCAATGCACTGATGCAGTCATACCAGCTGTTAAAATATTTAAGGTAAGTATCAAAAATACTTCTGCTTAAGTAGGTGCATCATCTTTGTCTAGACTGCTGCTGCCTCAGATGCTCCCGCTCCTCCCCTGGGGCCCTGGCTCACCCCACAATCCAGCAATTAAAAGGGCATCTGTGTGGGACCCCCAGGCCCCTGCCCCAGACTTTCAGCAGCGCCCATTGTGATGGGTCAGGGCTGTGCTGTGTGGTTGAGAATTTGTGGATGTCAGCCCTGGTTGACAGCCAGTCTACAGTGCTGGGGTCTGTGTACCCATGGGACCTGGGGTGAGTGGTTAACCCCGGGACTTACTTCCTCTTCTCCCGCTTCTCCCTCCTCCCACCTCTCTCCAGGGCGGGGGAGAATGAAGAGGCTCCCTGCTCCTCCAACACAGCCAGAGATGACCACCCCTGAGGATCAGCCAGGGCCCCCTGCCCTCTCAGCCTCTACCTACCACACCTGGAGACCTTGGGCTGCCCAGCCCTGGTGACAGCCAGGATGGGGCTGAGCCCTGCAGGGAGTGGTCCCTGAGCAAGGGAATGGGCATGACCTCTGACACACTGGGCTGATGGAGAAAGTGCTGATGCTATTTGGGCTGTTGGCAAACCTTCAGCCTAGGCCAGGGTCTGCATTCCCTGAACACACACCATTGGGCAGCAGCCCCGCTGATATGCAGGGGCCGGGTGGGAGGGATGAAAAGAACTATGACTAATCCCCTAGTGCTCAGCACACTCTAGAACATGGGCTGTCTCTCTACACTCCACGGGGCAGACAGACCTGTCTTGTTCACTCTTGTATCCCAGATGCCATGCAGCAGGTAGGCATCTAGTAGGTGTTCAGTAAATATTGACCAGACGAATACACAGATCCAGAGCTCGTTCTCACTCCACATCTCCTATGCCCCTCACTCGGCCCTCGTTGTTCTCTGCGCATCGTGGGGCTAGCACATGGATGAGACAGCTCCGTCGTCGAGGGGCTCACTTCCGGGGGGAGGTTCCCAGGAGTGCTCAGAGGAGGGCACACGCAGCTTCCTGTGCAGGGGCCTGGAAGGGTGTTTGAGGTCTCCAAGGTGGAGACAGACCCGCTGGGCTTTCCAGGCAGAAGGAACATGTCCAGCACCTCGGAGTGGTCACGGAACAATGCACGTAGGGGACATCTCGGAGAGGCAAGAGGGAGTTGAGGGTGAGTTGAGACTGGAGCAGAGGGGCTTTGAATGCCAAGTAAGAGGTCAGCAGTGAATTCGCCAGATAAGAGGAAACCATTGAAGGTTGTGAACAGGAGCTACATGGTCGGAGCTTGATTTCAGGAAGTGGAGCCTCGGCAGCTGGACTGGAAATGGGAGGGACCCAGTAAGAGGCATCTGAGAGGATCTGAGTGTGATGGGACCAGGGTCTGGGTGGGAACACTGGCTGTGGTTCGGGTCAGGAGTGGAGGGTGAAAGAGTCCCTTCACAGGCAGGGAGCGTGACCAGTGAGGTGCTGGGGCGGGGGCCCAAGGTGGTTCTGAGTGTTGAGACAAAGCGATCAGGGTGACCTCAAAGGACAGGCTCTCAGGAGCACTGCGGTGGGGAGAAGACCATGACCCTGGGGCTCAGGGCCACCCGAGCACTCTCCTCTGTCATTGGTTCATTAGTTGTCAGTTGAGGGCATCGTTCTTAATTAATGCTCTGCGTGCAGCTTTACCAGGAGGGAGGGGTTCATGGCAAGTGGAATGTTGTACTTTGCTGCGCAGCTCTCTGAGCCCCCAAGCTGAGTGGAACCATCTGCCTGTGGCCACAGAGGTCACTGGTCCTCTGGCCACACGCCCTGCAGCAGACAGAGTGAAATGCTTGGCTCCCCAGTGCCTTAATTATTCCCGTCTGGAAAGTGGGCACTCTGCTGTGGCCCATGTCCTAGCGTCAGTTAAGGCTGGCTCAAGGGGACCGAGCTACACCCTCCTTTGCTATAATGAAGCCAGTCCGTTAGGTCCCAGCGGCCTCTTTTTAGCAGGTCTCTTTCCCTTAGAATAGGGTTGTCCTTGTCACTTTATGCATTAGGCCCTCTAAGTGCCCTGGCTCCTGTCTGTACCCTGTGCCCTTCAACTGGGCTCATTGCTCCCCTTATCTCCCTCCTGCCCTGTCCCTGGGCATGCTCTCAGGGAGGCAGCCCCTCCTGTTGGGTAGAAAAGGAGGGCATGGGCAGGGAGCAAGGGTGCTGTGTCTTGCGCTGCCTGAGATGGTTTAGAGGGGCGGCAGAACCTTGGACCTGATCACCCACCAGGGCTAAGCCTGCTGGAGGGGCAGGGGCTGTCTGGGTAGCCCGGCTGCCTTGACATCAGCTTCTGCTTCTGCCCTCATTCCTCTCTGTGGGTGGTGCTGGCCCAGCTCCTCTATTCATTCCTCAAACATTCATTGATGCTGACTTGATGCCAGGCCTGATGCCAAGAACCAGGAATTCAAAGATGAAGGAGACCTATTGCCTGACCTCAGGGAGCCCATGGGGGAAAAGGACCGGTTGCAGACGGTGTGGTTCAGTGGCTGATGGGACGGAAAAGAACAGGGAGCTACAGAAGCCCAGAGGAGAGCGCTCACTTGGCTGAGGGTAGGCTGGAAGACTTCCCAGAGGAGGAGCCATTGGGGTCATGCAGGATGAATAGGAGTTGGCCAGGCAGAAAAGCAGGGCCATGGGTGGGAGTGGGGGTAGGAGGGGCTGGGCAGAGGCAGGGATGGCAGCGGTCTCTGGGATTGGGAGTCTCCATTTAGGAGTGGTGGGGACATGAGTACACCTGCTGAGCCACACTGCCCGTGAACCCTTCCTCCCCCTCCTCATCTCTTCTCACAAAACCCTGACTCACCCTCACTCAAGGTGGGTCCTCTTGGGTAAGTCAGGAGCAGATTGACGTTTAGTTTTTCTAACAGCCAGCAGGGTTCTCCAGGTCGGAGACCACAGGCAGGGGATCAGGTTCATTCCCCAGGGAATCAGCCCGGGGACACCAGAGACCCCTAGACCTCTCTCTCTGGGTCCTGAGACTGGCCTCTGGGAGCTCCCTGTCTGTCTTTCCTTCCCACACAGCTTCAGTAAATGAGGTTGGAAGGAAACTGTTTCTACCAAGACAGCTTCCAGGAGCTAAAGTCAAGTTGAAAGGCTGAAACGTGGGGATAACATTTCACACTATACAGTCCCCGCCGCCCCCCCCCCAACTGGGAGGCCCTCTGCTCCCAGGTGGGGACCTGCAGCCCCATAACCTGGTGGCCCAACATGCCTCTCCCTCCAGCCTCGGCCCGTCCAGGCCCTCTCCATCCACGTCCCACAGGGCCCTGTCTCCCAGGGCCAGCCCCTGGGGGAGTCTTCCCTACACTCAGCTCCCACCCATCGCTCTGACTACCTCCCTCCTGTGAGGGTTCTGTCTCGCTGCTCTACTGTAAACCTTGGCAGGCAAGAAACTCGACAGTGGAATCCTCTGGTTTCCCCCAAACTAGTGTATGGCACAGTGTTGCCTTTGTCATTCTACCACAGGTAATAAAGACCAACGTTTGCTGAACTCTCTTCATGCCAGACCCTCGTCATGCACACATTTTACCAGTGTTAATTGTTTATCCTCATAGCAATCCTTGCAGTATGCCTCGTTACTCCCCCCACTTTCCAAGTAAAGAAACTGAGGCACAGTGAAGTCATGTAACTTGCCCAAAGCCTCATGGCTAGTAATTGGCAGAGCTGGGATTCAAACCCAGGCTGCCTGCTTCTGGATTTATCCTCTGAATGCAGACCCTAGACTATCTTTCTATTGTGGACTATTGTAGACACCCAATCAATTTCCGCTGAGAAGTTGCAAGGGATTGAGTTTTAATCCATTAAGTCACTGATTGTTTCATTCATTCAAGATGTTTATTGAGCACCTAGACACTAGGCGTCTCTACAGTAGACAGTAGGGGGTACAGAGAAAGGAACTAGGCTCAGCCTCTGCAGCCTTCACAGAGCTGCTGAAGGTGACTCTGCAGGTGAAAAGAGGCTGGCTTCAGGGTGTACGAGGAGGATCTGGCCCCTCCCGGGCTGATGACAATGGGCAAGTTGCCTGCGTGCAGCAGTTTCTTTCAGAGCTTGAACGCGGCGGTCCGAGGACAGTCCAGGCTGGGGACCCTACCCCAGTGCTCAGGGAAGATGCCCAGCCAGGGAACAAGACCG